TTTTTTTTTTTTTTTTGGGGGGGAAACACCAAATTGGGGGGGAGGGGAGGAACTTTTTTTGGGGGGGGGGGGGGCCCCTCCCCTTCGGGACAGAAGGGGGATTGTCCCCCCCCTTTGTTTTTAAAATAGTTTAAAATTCCCGGAAGGGCGTTAACACAGGTTTTACAATTTTTTTTGAAAGGAAAAGACCCCAAAAAAATATTTTCTTTTTTCCGCGGTTGTTCTCCTTCTCAAGGGAAAGCAACCCACAAAGGCGCGACCCCCCTTTACCGGGGGGAGTCCCCCTTTTTGTGGGTTTCCCGATATCCTCCCGGGGTTTTGGCCTTGGGGGAGTGGGGGCCTTGTTCCGGGAAAACCCGGGCTTTCCCTCCCCGGCTTTTAAAAGATGGGGGGTCAATGTTTTAAGGATTACGGCATCCACGATTTTGAGTCCCCCCCCCCCCCCCCCTGCACGCCTACCTCCCGGCATGAAAACCTCCCCCCCTCCGGTGTCGACCGACACCACCTTGACCTCAACGGTCTTGTCGTCAGCCCGAACGTTAGCCCACATCGCTCCGGGGTCTGTGGACAGGGAGATGGTGACAGTCTCGTCCGTCCATCCCTGCTCTTTGATCTCGTAGTCTCCCACCAGCGTCGGGCTGAGCACCAGCTGTTTTCGCGGCGGGTGAGCAAAAGATGGCAGACAAAACACAAGAAATGAAAAAAAAACAGAAAAAAAATGTGGAAGCGGAGGATGGCGAATGAACAACAGACGGCAGGCAAAAAAGAAACCAACGGTTTTGTTGGAATGTCCGAAGGTGGCAAACTAACACCACACGGCAGGCAATACAAAAATACGTTGTTTTTTACAATGTATGGAAACCGAACACCAGATGGATGGAAGACAAAATAAAAGAGGGGGGATCGTCATATCGTGGAACCTGGCCTTCCGTGGACCTCGCCTGTGGCCCTTGATGCTTGATGAGGGGTCACCAGCAGTGCCGGTAATTGCCAGTCTTGTCCGGCAATACTGAGGGCAGGCAACCCCATGCGATGACACGCACAATTACGGTATGTGTTTTACATGCTAGCATCGACTGCGCTACCCGATAACCATAATCAATGCACCGCATGCGTGTATACTGTATGCGAGTTCGTTCCATTAATTTAACTCTGGGCGCCAGTTTGCACCCTTCGGTACACATACCGTATACTACTGTCATACTGTGAAACTGTGATAGTGAGATGGTACACATGGTTGATCCACGTATGTGATAGTGCGATGGTACACATGGTTGATCCGCCAGCCAGGGCCAGTCACACAGCAGGAAGGTACAGTACAGATAACGCAGGAGAACGCGATGGCGCGTTATATGACGGGCTGTATTCCATCTAGACTATATACCACATTTCACCAGTTTGACCACAACAGCATTCCATCTACGATATACTCATTTCAGAAGTGTGACCACACCAGTTTGCCATCTATGACACCTACTTCTGCAATTCTTCGCGTGGCGGCTGGATCGCAAAGCCTAAAAACCCATGCCTTGCTTTTGCAGATTCAGCAAGGTAGAACAAAACACCAAAACCACACCAACAACAACAAAAAATCCGACAACTCCGAAAAATAAAAAAATAAAAAACAAGAAAAAAAACTTGCCTGAGGCTTGACGTGGAAGTTGAAGGTGGAGAGGAAGCCGATCCCGTGAATGGTGATATGCTTTGTGTGGGACGCGTAGGCGTGCAGGTGGCTCTCCGACACCGACGGGTCGTCCAAGATGGTCGCCACCTTAAGCCCGGGGCTCGTGTAGTCCACCTCTCCCTCGTCGCCCTGCTGAGGCCACACCAAGAAAAAGATGATGCAGCGCAGCGCACCGGAAAGACAAAGACAAGACAAGACGGGAAAAAAAATAAATCAGAACGGCTCGAAAAGTTAAAGTTCGCCTATGACAGTAAGGTCAGGATCGTTTGAGCACCAGAACCTAGGACGACGACGACTATCGTAGGTGACATGACATGACGTAAGATAGCACACCCCCCGTAGCGATTTTCAATGCTCGACTACTCCACGACGACGAGGATGCATGGTGCATATCTACATGAAACGGTAATATTATGTTTTCGGAAAGCTCTCGACGAGGCGGCCCCAACGCCTCCCGACATGTTTGGGACCGGCCCTAGAGAAATCGAGCTTTCAAAATCGGTCCAGGGGGTGTGCTATCTTGCGTCATGTCACCTACTATACGGTATGCTATGACGCATATTTCGAGCAAGACACACAAAACGCAAACGGCGTAAAACGCGTCAGACGAGAAAGAGAGAGAGAGAGCCAAAGACGCCGAGAAAAAAAGGAGTAGAGCAATGACGGATAAAAAGAAAAAAAAAGATAAAAAGAAAACTTGACCGGAAAGTCCTTCTTTGGATCTTACTTTCTTGAAGGAACAACAAACGACCATGACGGAAACAGGAAAAAGGAGGTTGTACGTCCTTCTTTAGATTGAACTTGCTTGAAAGAACAGCAATAAATGGACAAGAGAGAGACAGAGGCAGAAACAGAGACAGAAAGGCAGAGAGAGGAAACGTTTCACGACGCAAGCACCAGCAGCAGCAACGAAAAGCGAGCTTTGCCCCCATTACCTCCGCCTCTCCGAATTTAGCCTTGAGCAGGAACAACGGCCCTCCCTGATGGGCCCACTTGTCGTCCCCCACCAACGTCACCGCCAGCTGCGTTTCCGACAGGGTAGAGCACGAGAAAGTACCTTCCTTCGGACCCCCGAACCCGAACTCTAGATGGGCCTCCTTATCCGTAGGAAACCCTTCCCCTTCGAGTATCAATTTGTTCTTGCTCGACTGCGGCATCGACGCGACAAAACAAATTAAGATGGGTGTGACTCGTGATGTTGAGGGACAGCGGGCAAGCGTTCAGTGGAGCCTTTGGGAGACTCTTTTCTCGTGGACAGCCCAAGGTTTGGATAGGGGAAAGGACGGGGAGCGGGGGAGGGAAGGAGATGATCGCACCACGTTTGTGATAAAATGGTCAAGCACCCTCGAGGCAGTTACACAGTGCTTATGACTGTCTCTGGAAGTGAAAGCACCAGAAAAAAATTAAGTCATACGCAGCTGTCATCCGTACGCAAGGAGGTAAGCACAAGATGCCGAACACCCTTACCAGGATGCAGCACACGGGAGGGAGACTCTCTACATTGAACGAGGTTTGCTCGAAACATCCGATTTGAATAGATTTTGGTATTGGTATCTGTTATTTCTTGGTTCGTGGGTATTCGCTGGGTTCTTCGAGTCGAAACACGTCAGATGGGTGAGCTGTTGGAAACGTCAGTGATGGCGGCTGCTAGCTGCTAGCCAGGTGTGGGCTGGTCTTGCTTCATTTCCATCTTACATCACCTCCTTGTGACACCAGTGCTGTGCTCTCATAACCCCACCCACTCCGGAGGAAGACTTTAACAGCTCTAACATGGGTTTGTGGCAATCCGCAAGCATGCTTTGGGGGGCGGCATGTTCGGGGAGAAAATAGACGAAGCAGCTGCACCGGCAGCAAAGCTAACGCAGCAGCATTGGCACCAGTAGTCACAGCCACTCACAAGCACAAAGCTCGGAAATGGCGACAACGAACGACCAGGGGTCAAGACGAGCATGGCATGGCCACGACTCTAGCACACCTGATAGAGCTGCGTGACGTAGTCGGGCTTGAGGTGGATGCCGCTCCTGTGGGGATCGTCGTCGGACACAACTACGGCAATAGGAACGGGCTGCAGACGAGAAACAGCAAATTTACCAAAAGAACAACAAACACACGAGAGAGAGAGAGAGTTACCGGTGGACTCGAGGGTGAGAACGTCTCGGTAAATGCAGCACCTCGCAAAATATACATCAACAACAACGACGACACAATGAAGCAGCACCAGCACCAGCACGAGCAGCAGCACCAGCAGCAAAAACAACGACAGCAACAGCAGCGGCGGCGGCGGCGGCGGCGGCGGCAGCTTACAGCATGTCAGCGTTCGGCGATCTTTCTCTTCACTTCGAGGCATGAGCAAAACAACTTTCATGCCCAGCAGTTAGCTCAACATGGATCGAAACCCCTCAATTGCATATACTCCATGAAATTTGCGTGGGGGGAAGTAGAAAGAAACGTCCCTTTCCTACTCCAAATTGATGCAGTGAAACCGAACAAACAAAACAAAGACAAGCGACATCAAGCAACACAACAGCAACCACACGTTCGTGTGTTGATTTGTTCGTCGGCCAGAGCAATACTCGTGAAGTCCAGTACACATACCAGATAATCGCACCGCCTATCATCACTACTTCCGTTGTAAGCTTTAACTTCGACTTGTTGACCTTTTGTGTCGACAGAAAATGGCACAAGAACGTCCAACCTGATGGACTGACTCCCTGCGGTACTGGCACACGCCACACCACAAACACCCGATGATGCCAACCCGGAAGAAGCTGTAGATATTGTATTATATGCATACCTCATTCATCGTGTACATCCCGCCGCCGGTGTTGATTGCCCGCACTCGGAGGTTTCCCGTTTCCCCTCGAGGCATCCACCCTCCACCGAAGCTTGCCAGAGAAAGCTTCACGGCAGTGCGATTTACAACCTGATGAGTGGATAGAAATCAGGACATACAGTGAGTCAATCGTTACCGCCTTTTCCTGGATTCGCTCCAATCCACGTGTTGTAATTCAGATCTTGGAAATAAATTATCTCCATGTTGTACTTGAGGTTTTGGATATAAATTATTTTCATGTACCTGTATTCGTCTTGTTCTCAAGGAATTCACAGCAGTGTTACATACCTGGCCAACATGTAATTCGACTCATCCCCGAGCACCATCATTTTTATATTAGGCAAAGACTACTATTAATAGAATGGCAAGACAGCACCAAATCATACACACAAAGGTTCGTGTAACTAGACTTGATACAATTCCGGTGAACTTCAGTGAACTTGCTCGTCACGCACGTATGTATCAATCGTTTCAACAACGGAATTCGACGATTGCACGCACGCTCATTATATTTTAGCGACAGATATGCTACAGCACCTGCTGGTTTTATAGACACAACAACGACGTGACGAGAATAACATGAAACAAAAACCAAATCTCATCGAAAAAAGACGCCGCCTGTTAGCGATGAAAAGCCCGGTCCGTCAGCAGTCAGTCGCCCCGCACCTGAACCATGACATAAATCCCACCTTTACCATGAAAGCATCTCACCTGCACCATGAAATCATCTCGATCGATGGGGGCATCTCGCTCTTCGGGGTCCTCTCGATCTGCCAGGGGCTCGAACGCTATGATTGGCGGGAACGCTTTCGTGAATCCGGTACCGCGGAGGTACAACTCGTGGGTCAGTGTGCGCCCGATTTCCTGCAAGGACGGTTCCAGCCTGCACATCAAGAGTAGTAGCGCACGCGCACCGGGGGGGGTGGTTCGGGTGTAGTGTACTGTGTGTTGTATGCAGCAGGAGCAGCCTTCCTTCCTTCCTTCCTTCCTTCCATACATACTTCTATCCTTCCTTCCTTCCTTCCTTCGTGTGAGGCCCAGCTATAATGCGTTTGGACTCAAGGTCTTACTGGTAAGACTAGTGAGAGACATCGTGAGGTTTTCATGTTGAGTATCTCTGCATTCATTTGCTTGAACCAGCTTATCGTGAGAGACATGAAGAACAGACAAGAAAGGTCATGCCCATCATACCTATAATGCATCCACGGACCCCCCCCCCCCCCCTTCCCCAAAGGGGCCGTAAATTAATAATTTGCCCAGGCCCCGGAAACCCCTAATCCGCGTTTAAAAATCCCACCCCCCAAAAATAAACCCCGTGGGAGCTGCCGGAATGAAACAAGGGGGTTTCAAAAGGATCGGCCGTTTTGCGTGGGTTGGGGGGGGGATTTTTTTAAAAAAGGCCGTAAATTTTTTAATATTGAACGTTTCGGCCCGCTGGTCATATTCCGGGGGGGGCAAAACCCTTTCCCGGGGGGGAATTAATCCCCCCCGATGGGTGCGAACTTTAAATCTTTCTCTTTTGTTAAAATAAAAATACCCCCCTCAAAATAAAAATAAAAAAAAACAGCGGCCTTTTTTGGGAGTGGTTTTCACGGCTGGCCCCGCCCCCCAAAACCACAAAAACCCTTTTTTGGCAACCCCCTCTACGACAACCGCGACAACAAAAAAAAAAAAAATCCCCTAGGGTCCCCCAAAAAAATCCCCCCCTTTCTTTCCGCCTTGGG